AATATCATCAGTGATATTAGTTGTCAGCCAGCTTGTCTTACTCTTCTCTTCTCTGTCTCTATCTGTGTTTTCCGTTGTCGACCACCTGACACATTCATTAAAAAGATTGACTGATTAGTAGTTGATTTTTATTTTTTACGGGTTGATCACGGATTGATATCAGTTAGACAACCATTGAAAACCAGGGAGTACTGGACAGCTGCTGTTTCATCCTAGTTTGGGAATCATCGGCAGTCGCACCCGCTGGGATTAGAAGCTAGGACCTTCCGGTCACAAGGCAAGCTCGTATACCATTCAGTCACTGGGACCCGATTCAATGGCTTGTGAATTCTAACTTCTACTAATTCGTGATTTAGCGCGACCCCAACCATTGTCGTTGGTGGGACATCTATCCACACACGTGACATCTAATTGGACCTCACTGATCACGACTTCTCACTAGAACTCAGGAAACTCCAACCTGTAGCAAGTCACTAGCGAGCATCAGACTAACTTTCTATAGTTTGGTTTGTAAGGATTAGTTATGTTTTACGGGTTGATCACGGATTGATATCAGTTAGAGAACCATTGAAAACCAGGGAGTACTGGACAGCTGCTGTTTCATCCTAGTTTGGGAATCATCGGCAGTACGCACCCACTGGGTTTCGAACCCGTGACCTTCCGGTTACAAGGCAAGCTCGTATACCATTCAGCCTGGGTTCGAATCCCAGTGGGTGCGTACTGCCGATGATTCCCAAGCACTAGGATGAAACAGCAGCTGTCCAGTACTTCCTGGTTTTCAATGGTTCTCTAACTGATATCAATCCGTGATCAACCTGTAAAACATAACTGATCCTTACAAACCAAACTATATAAAGTTGATTTTTATTGTTCCTCTTGTAGACAGCCAGATTGGTAATTTAAAGCCTACTGGTTCGAGTTCTGTACCGATCCATATTTCGATTACACTGTTAAATCATTGATCACCAAAAATGCATAAAATATTAAATCTTGTTTAGAATTTCCCTCTAAAGACAACAGAAGTTTCTGGACTAATAATAATAAGAAGAAGAAAAACAGATTGCAAAACAGAAATAGTTTTACTTTAGACAAAAGTAATAAGTAATTGGTATATATTTCAATATGAAGATAATATTCCAGTGGTGAGATCATTAGTAGCACTGAATCATACTTGTGTCAGGTAATCAGAACAAAAAAGAAAAACCTTAAAAATCTGTATATAAATGAATTTAAAACAGATTTTTTATATTTTATAATCATATACATTATTGTTAGTGAAGCTAATTATAGGCAAGAAGGGAGTAAAGAGTCGAACAGAAGTGCGTGAATTACACTAAATAATAATCTGTTAGATCAAGTAATTAGACTTATTTCAAACCATAGCATGAACTAACTGGCATTGGAAATCACCAGGGAATAACTGACAGTTGTTTCGTCTTAATTTGGGACTCTTCAGCTGTACAGTTCACCAACCACACCCCCTCAGGAACGTCACATTACTAGACCAATCACATACATCTAAGCATGGCAACACTATTGACTGATTACAGGCTCAGAGGTTCTCAGAAGTTCATGCCGGCAGTTGTCAAAAGAGGTGGCTTGACTTGAGGTTAGATAATTCCATATTAGTTTGTTTATCAGATGTATCACACAGAGTGTGTGAAACAATATTAGTATTTACTGGATGTCGAGGTTCCGAACACAATTTAATGTTGTGATTTTTTTGTAATCACACGACTTCGAAACTTGAGTTTTTTTTATAGTTTTCTTTGTTCTCTCCTATTTGTCGTCGTTAGGGAAGCAGAATTCTCCAGATATCTGGGTGGACAGGTGTTGAATCATTTCTATTACACGTATTCCCTGTCAGTTGATTCGATGAACAAAGTTTCTGTTATCAATCCCTCCATCCACCCTGTAACATTAGATTTTAAAACTGTCATCATATCCCATCATCCCATTGTGTGGTTGTGTGTAACTGCATGTAGTGAGTGCTATAGCTGAATTAATCTAGATTTTGCTAGGTTTTTATGTTCGGCTAGTCTAACTGCCCATGTTCTACTACTTTGATGTATGTGTTTGAACTGATAATCATTGCAGCCAGGATATTAAATAAACTAAATTGTTCTATTTTAAAAGCTTCACAGGATTGATGCTTTAATCGAAAAGGCTTGTTCCTAACTAAGTTTGTGGGTGGTTTAAATGCCAGCCACTCTTATTCCTGCCTTGTTAAGAATCCTGAGTAAGGTTTTACTGGGTTCCTTCCTTGTATGGAATTACTACTGATGATTTAAATTCCTTATTGTTGGTGTTGCCATTATCCTTTGCATGTTTGACATGTATGTTGCCATTAATATTACTCTGATTACTACGATTACTATTATCATTATTGTTATTATTATTATTATTACTATCACTATCACTACTATTATTATTAAGTTTATTTCTACATTTCCCTACATACTTTCTGACTAGTTTATCAAGGTAAATATTGAGTTTCAAAGCTTCTCTTGTATGCCTTGCTTCCTGTCTTAGAGTCCCCTTGATACTACTTAGGTTTGTGCCCTGCTGTCACTTAAACTTTTCACCAATCCTATTTTTATTGACATAGGATGGGATGATCCGAAGTCGAAATGTCTGTTTGAATGTGTGGGTTACCTGTGAACACATACTAGTGTTTAACTTCCCATCTTCTTTCCTTTTTACTGCATATCCTACGTGGGATATAGATAGACTTTTCGAAAACATTAATTCAAAGGTAGAGACAAACCAATTCACTTATGAATCGGAAAGTCAGGAAGGGGAGCTTCCAATATTAGATTGTAGAGTAAAAGGGAAAAAAGATGGGAAGTTAAAAACTAATGATTGTCAGGTCAAACATATAGTTCAAAAAACATTATGTCATACTTCTTAGAACTCTGAAGACTGACCGTCAGTAGGGCGAGTGAAATACCATTTGGCCATATAGTTGACATTGTCACTGGTAAGCACTTGATTTCATGCAATAAGTTTGCCAAGGGAGATTTGTCAGACTGTGAGCATCCCCCACTTTACCCGGCGATCCAACATTTTGTCTCTTCCTCAGGTAAAACAAGAAGTCTTTTCAGAAGACTTTATGCACGTACATCTAAGTATGAAAATTCCACTATATCATATTTGGCACGGATTCTTTTATGTGATACAAAATAGTGTCAAGCATGAAACAACTAGCTAACCTTATTTGCACTAGTAAATAAACCATTTCATCCACCCTTACACCATCAACCTTTACTGTTATTGTACTTCTTATATTTATTATCCTCTCAATATTATTTGTTTATTTTTTCATAATTGTGAGCAGCATTAAAGCTGTGTTATACAACTGTTAACTTTGTATTTCCCCTCACCATACTATATCAGCAGAACATTAGATTCAATAATCCATAACATGTTAAGATATCCAAACTGAATCGGCAATACTACTTGAAACAGACTCACTGTTGTTATTATTATTATTATATTTAATGATCTCAATTCGTGCTTAGAATATTTTTGACTTTATATCGTGAAAGTGGACAAATTCCTCTGGTTACTTTTGTTTTAATTTTTAATTCCATTTATATTTTAAGTAAATCAGATGAGAGATATTGTGACAAATGCTGAGAATTCCATTCTGTATAATGAGTACTATCTTTGGAATAAAGTAAATTATTATTGCACGTAGGATTCCACCATGAGCTGAAATCAGTTGGAGAACCTGGGAAACCTGGGAGTACTGGACAGCCAGCTGTTTCGTCCTAGTTTAGGACTTTTCAGCACTACGCACCCAGGACTCTCTGTTTACAAGCCTAGCCATCTCGTAGACCATCCAGCCACTGGGACCCGATCCAGTGATCCTTGAATGCTAACTTCTGCCAATTCACGACATAGCGATACCATTTCACAATGTCTTCTTTGATGAGTTTCTGCCTTATCTTCAACCTGCTATACCCTACTGGTCATGGTTTCCCACTAGAACCCCAGGTTAACTACCTGAATAGGGTCAGTCATTATTGAGCATCAGATCAGTATTCACTTATTGGTTTTGTAAGGATTTTTCCTTCGATTAATTGTGTTAGAACCCTGATGGGTGCGTACTGATGAAGAGTCCCAAACTAGGACGAAACAGCTGGCTGTCCAGTACTCTCAGCTGGTTTTCCTGTGGTTCTCTAAGTGATGTCAACTCATGATGAAGTCCCTCCAACCAATCAAATAATTATTTGATGATCGGCTTAAACCTCTAGGCTGCTTAAATTTCTCTCCAACTCAATGTGTCTACTATCTTCTTCGCCTAAATGTCCTCATCTTCCAGTTATTTCTTTGTATGGTAACATAAAATAACGCAAACTTCTAAATGACTTCCAATCTACCGTTGTCTACTTCAAGAAGAAAATAAAGCAGAAACATCCCGGAGGGTTGAGTCTTTTTTCAGATGGAAATAAGTAGCACCGTATGATTTACTATGGATAAATGCTTCATTTGCAGATTTTATACGAGCAGTAAACATTTCGCAAAAGATTACGCTGTCAATTCCGTATCGCATGTAAACAATTTCCACAATGGAGGTGGATTATCAATAAAATTTGCCAGAACAACTTGAGCTACTTATATATAATTTTAAGTAGTATGAATTATATGTTTCAAATTTCCATCTCGTTTGAGTTTCAGGTTCTAATCTTGGGCCTTGAAGCTTCGGTAACAGTGGTATTCTTTGCATCAGACCTTATATCAGATTAGAGATCATTCTACCTCTAAACCACCGACGCGTGAATACTATTTGATCTAGGCTAATTCACACAGCATACAGCCTTCCAGAAAATGATGTATGGAACCATTAGGTGGCGTACGATCCTGTCGGCACTGTCAACTGTGGTAATAAAAAGTTCCTACAACACAAAGAGAACATATGACCAACTAGATAATCCAGTATAAGTCAAACTAAAATAAAAGCTCTCGGAGTTTATAATGAATATATTTCATTCATTCTCACTCACATGCAAAAACACATATATAGATTACAGTAGTACTGGTGAATTAGCCTTAAATATGTACACCTGAAAAGTACATCTCTAAATGTATCCTGTGCTTATTTAATTGGAAGGAACTTGACACATCATATACGTAGGCATGTATATTTGTACAAATTTTCGGTCGCACGGTGATAAATATTATATTATACATCAAGACTTTCTTGTAGAAGAATTGCTTCAAGTTCTCTGCTTTCCTCTGACTCTGAATCCAGATCAAATTCTGCTGCATAACTTAAACGATGCGGTAAATCACCACGTAATGTTGAGATGATAGCTGTTATCCCATCAGCGCTCGCATCATCTACTAAGTGAAGTTTGAACTTGAAAAAGAAAATTTTATGTTTAAATATATTCACCAAAGATTAGGCTGACTAATGATGATGATAATAATAATATCTTTAGGATTATAGTCACTAAACTCGGGACCTAGGGATAACACCTCTAGTTGAAACTTATTAAGCGCGACACTGGAAGAATTGTGAACATACCGACGTGGAACTGACGAAAATTTATTTTCAAGTTCTCGATTTCCAAGAGATTTGATGAGACGAATCCTTTTATTATTCCTTCTGTTTACTGTTTCATCATTAATGTATTCCAAGAACATCGATTGTAATTCCTGAGGTAAAGCCATCAACAGAAAATTGTCTTCGTTCCTTTCGGGATCGTTTATGAGTCTTTCAATAAAGCCAATCTGATTAATTGCATGTCATTTTAAATTCTTAGAATTAGGATAAATCCGCATTTGTCTTAACGACCTCCAATAGAAGGAATAATAAGAGGATTAGTCTAATCAAATCTCTTGAAAGGCAAGAGCTTGAAAGGAAATCTCAATCACTGCGATGTCGGTATATTCACAATTTTTCCAGTGTCTTGCTGAATAATTTCCAACTGGAGGTGTTATCATCAGTTCCCAAATTTAGTTATCCTAAAGCTAGCAATTTAGACATCGTTATACATAAGTATAAAACTTGGGCAATGTAGTGAGTGGTAGAGTATAACTTCATAATGGATACAAAATTTATTTTGATAAATCACACAGTGTTTGTTGTACAGTAATATTAACTGATGACATTTCGAGCACGAATTATTGATTATAATCATATCAAGTCACTCACTCACTCACACAACTTTCTTGCTTCATTTATATACATGAGTGGAATTGATGATTAGACATTTGAATAAAAATCAACCGATATAGGATAATGTACATTCAGAAACAATAATAATATGAGTGTTACCAACCAAACACAATCAGATGCGAAATAAGACGAGTGTTCTTTTTTGTCAAAATAAATAAGTAACTTGTTACAATGTTGTAATGTGAATTGAATAAATTTTAACATGATTTATTATCCTCTGATTTGACTGACTGACTGACTGGTGGTAATAATATCTTCCATATCTCTCGTATCTGCGTTGAGTAATTCCTATTTTATGTGTTGGGTGTAGATTCACTCGATGTAACAGGCTGGATTCCGTAATCGATCTCTCTCTCTCTCTCCACCTACCTATATTACTTCTTAGAATTTTGACTCTGTCCGATCCTATTGTGTGGTTGTGTGTTAATGCATGCAGTTCAGTATAGTGCTCAGCTTTTTTCTAAATTACTTATCTTCATGCGATCAATTGGTCTAACTTTAGCTAAAGTTTAATGTTCTAACAAGCAATCTCACTACTCCTGATCTACTAGTTTGATCTACGTAGTTCACTCAACTCAGAATTCATGTGTTGGCTATTGAATCGAGTCGCTTCCCAGTGGCTGAATGGTATACCAGCTAGCTTGTGTCTTGTAACCGGAGGGTCCTGGGTTCAAACTCCAGTGAAGTGGGTACATACTGCCAATGATTCCAAAATTATTCATTCATATATCTAATCAATGATGACTCATAATCCTATACACCGATATAACCGCACTTTAGTATTTCCACTCACTGTTCAACTTTAACACACACACACACATAAACACAAGAAAAATGATTGTTATCGTCTATTGTAATTCATGTGTGCGTCGGTGTCACAGTGGCAGAATGCTCACCAATTACGCCTCATGTAGTTGTAGATTCGATTCCCGACCACAGACCCACTCCTTTGCCTCGCTAAACCAGTAATAAGATTGGTAACTGGGGAAGGTTGGGCTGCGCATGAGACTAGCAACTCCATCCCGTAAAAATAGAGAACCATTACTACTGAAAAGAATATTTCCACCAACAGCCTGTTGCAGACCTTTATCAACCAACAACTGTCTTCGCTGACTCTATACTGAAGATCAGATAGCCTGACCGGAAAGAATCACCAACTATAGGAAACTATGGGAACAAACAAACAAAACAAGAACCAATCGCCAACCAACAAATATGCAGGAAAAAGTGGAGATGGATTGGACACTCGCTCGCTGAGTAGGCCGCTGGGTGACATCGCACGCGCGCATCAGGCCATTGCTCGAGTGGAACCAGGCCGAAAGGGAAGCACGCGGCGAGTGAGATGTCAGCGCAACGGTGACATGAAGGAGATCGTGTGAAGAGGAATTGAAACAGCATGGAATAACATGGATGCAGGTGAAAAGTACAACAGAAGGAAGACAAAAGCAAGTGGACGGAGACGTGTAGTTGAATCCCTATGTTCCACTAGGAACCCAAGGGAACAGTAATAAAGAATAATAATAATAATTGCTACCGAAACTTCAAAGCTCTAGCTTGAAGCCCTATATTCCACTGGGAACGTATAGGAACAAGAAAATTGTAATGCATAAATAAACGACTGCATAGCTATGAAAACGAAATCGAACAAAGGATTATTTTCTTCATCGAATTCTTTGTTTTTATTATTATTATTATATTTCGCCTTGAAATTCACCCCCCAGGTATATCGGCCGTACTCAGCGTTCGCTATCCAAACGCGTCAACGAACATTTACCTTCATGGTTTTATAAAGGAGAAAGCCGACGCTCCCGCACCTCGATCCTTGAACATTTGATCGACTCTGGACACCAAGTCAAACCAGAAATAAACTTCAAAGTTGTCTACAGAATACAAGGCAATCTTGCTAAAAGTGTACGGATCAAACTTCTCCACATCGCAGAAGCAATGGCAATTCATCTGCTAAATCCTGAACTCTGTATACAAAAGAAATTCGTTCATTCATTAAATCTACAATGGACGTAATCTTTCTTAATTTCAGTCTTACTAATTGTATTATTTTGTCTTTTGCATTTTATTATTTCACATCTTCATTTATATTATTCTCTACCCCACCCTTTTGTAATCTCTACCCTCATTAACAATGTTGCTAACTTGACCTACGTCCAATTTCTAGTCAACTATGTTACGTCACGCGAGTAACTTACTTATTTTCAACTGTATTATTCTCTAACCCCACCCTTATTTAATTTTAATCACCACTCATTAACACTGTTGCCAACATGACCTACTCTGAATTCTACTCAACTGTATTACGTCATCCAATTCACTTAATCAGTTCTATTTTATTTTCTATCTTAAAGTTTGTCTTCAAGTCAAATAATACTTACATTACATAATTATCTAAACTTTATAAATCCAATGTACACACACACACAAACAAAATTGTATATATATGCGATTGTACAGCTCAGTGAATGAATTCGCCGAAAAGAGTCTCTTCGCTGAACGCCTTCTTTTCTTTTATATGACTGAATGGGGATTTTCAAGTTACATAATATTTTAAAAAACAATAAAAATTAATAAAACTGAAGAGATAAAAATATTCTCATAAACTTACAGAATATCTTTCTGGTATTAATTTACTAATAGTCCGGTTCAACACATCAGTAAATGTTTTACTCAATCGAAAGAATGTTCCATCTACAGCGATTGTAACTCGTTTTCGTTTCAATTGATTAATAAGTGCAGCACAAGCTTTTGACCACAAGTGACCAATCAAAAGAGAAGAAAGGGAAAACAAACACCAAGACGAAAAAATCATAAAAGATAATTAAAAATTGAATTTAAAGAAAACAAACATAGAATTCATGGACTATATTCGATCAGATGCCAGTGGCTGAATGGTTAAAGAAATCACTGTTTATGTTCTCTGAGCTAGATGGTTAATTTGCAAAGCTTTCATCACCCTACTGGGTGACATCTTCAGCGCATACTTCAATCTGAATTGATGTGAGCTTTTAGATTTCTTCACGAGTTTATTAATCATCTCCCCTGGTGGGTGACCTTGGACGTGATTGGTTGTTTATGTGTGTTTTCACACCTTCTAAATTACTTGTGTTGGAACTGATTGTTTCTTTGACTTGAGCTTTGACCCTTTGTGTGTGAAGTTTCTTTCTTGTTGGTTGATAAATTTTGTCTATCTCTATGTGTCTATTGATTGATGATTCACTGGAATGCCAAGCTTGTAAAAATTCTCTAGCATTCTTGTTGTTTCCTCTTTTCTATCGGGTCACTGTTTAACCGGAAGCTTCTCCATTTGAACCAATTTGTTGGGTGCATATTGCTGAAGAGTCCCCAACAGACCGGGCGAAACAGCTGTCTGGCAGTTATCTCAGTTGGTTTTCCAATAGGTCTCTTAACTAATGCCAGTTCATGACGAAATCCTGTAAAATTTTTGTGGTTGATTTTTATTGTACAAAATGTTTTCATTTTATAGAAACGTTGACAGGATAGTCAGACGAAAAGGAGATTTTGATGGGGTAGAGTTTAAAACACACACTCCTGGGCTAGGTCAGATTCCTGGTTGAGCAAACACTGTTACACACTACCTACACGGTAGGAAGTCTGGAAAAGAGAGATGGTTACGCGTGGAAGGATGATATCACCATCACTCAAGCTTTAAGACCCAAGCTGGAAGCCATGTTCAAGTCGAAATGCAAAGGAGTGACAATTAACTGCTCTGAAAGTGTAGACTACGACATACACAGTTAAACTGCTTAATATATATATATATATATATATATATATATATATATATATATATATTGCCTATTATTATTTCTTTTAGTTCCTGGAGGAACATAGGGCTTCAGCCGCGCGTCTCTATTGCCTTCGGTTCTCTGCTAAAGTTTTCATCTGGCTCCAAGTCTGCCCAATTACTTTCATCTCCTTTTCACACGAACTCCTCCAAGTCACACTTGCACTAACGACCAACTCGACGCTTCCCTTTCGGGTTCCACTCGAGAGATGGCTTGTCTAGTGATGTCACTTGATGGTTTCCTCAGAGTATGGCCAGTCAATCCATCTCCATTTCTTCCTGCCTATTTGTTTCACAATCGGTTCCTGGCTGGTTCGCTCATTGCCAGAGATCCCTTTTGCTGATCTTTTCTGGCCGGCCATCTGATCTTGAGTGGAGTATTGAGCGCAGACAACTGTTAATGAAGGTCTGTAATTTGTTTGAGATGCTCTTTATGACGCTCAGTGCAATCTCTGATCCGTATAGTAGCACTGACTTTACATTGGAGTTGAAAATCCGGATCTTATTTTTGATGTTGAGTGCTGTTGTCCTCCACAAATACTTAAGAGTAATGGAAGCTTGTCTTGCTTTTCCGATCTTTGCTCTGATATCCTCGTCAGTTCCGTCCGCCTATAGTTGAAACGATGCTTCCCAGGAAGGTAGGTAAAGGAGGTTGTTTCTTTCAGGTTCCTCCCACTTATGCTGACTGTTGTCTGTTGGTGTTGGCCAGGAATATTCATCACCTCTGTTTTTACGTAATGAAATTGCTTATCACATTCATGTTATCGGGAAGGTTAGTGTGTTGGAACCAAGTCCAATTCTGTTCAAGTCCATCATTCCTATTCAGAGAACTTTGCTTTCATTTGATATGAAGTGCGTCTGGTATTAGGCGTTACTTTTGATTTCTGAAGTGCTTTTTCTGGATGATGATTTCAATACTGTTAAAATTAATTTTGCAACTTGATTCGACTATAGCGTGTAGACCTGTGGCTGATGATTTTTCAGGCTTTTGTAGTTCAACTGAATTTATTTCTCGGTGGTCGAAAAGATGCTCTATGGTGTTCATTTCTTCTGATTTTGATTTCTGTCTGGAGGCGTTTGTTCGATGCATATCGCATCACATTCCAAGCAAGCATTTTATTTTGTAGACACAATTAGATATAGAATCCTTAGGGATTGGGTCTTTTACATGGACAAGGTTGCTTTTTAGCACATGTGTCTGATGTTTTGAATAAAATTTTGATGTTGTGCGTATTGAGTACTCTTCTGAAATTGTCTGACGCCTCTGATGTATATGGAATGACAACTGTTGAGGCTCATGTCTTCGGAATACGTCTTTGACAATATTTAACATCGATGGTTAAGCTATTATATATAAGCTGAGATATTGTAAATTCTGGTTTAATAATACTCCTATGATAAAGCTATCAGCAGCATTAAATAACGAAACATCGGTAAAAACTGCAACAATATCGTTTTGTTTTTCATTCAGTGGGAATATCATATACCCAATGTCCAAATTTTTCAAACTTGTTAAACGTGAACTTGCTTTAAATAAATAAACTAGTTCCTATAAACGAATCAATAAACTACCAAATTATTTTTTTCCTTCACGTTCCCAGTGGAACATAGCGAGGGCTTCAAGCTAGAGGCTTGAAGTTTCTGTAGCAGTGTTTATTTTTTTACAGGATGGGGGTTACCAGCCTCATGTCCAAGCTTTCCTCTTTACCAGCTTTTCTTCTGGCTTAGTGAGGTAAAGGAAAGAGCCGGCTGTGGATCGAACTTCCAACCATGTGCATGGTCGGCGAGGGTACTAACCGCTATGCCACCGACGCAAAGCACGGGCCCGGCCAGGATTCGAGCCCGGGGCCATTCGCACCGAGGCGAGTATCATACTCCTAGACCACTAGGCCTATCAATAAATATATATATATATACATATATATATAAGGTAGTGTCCCAGTGGCTAAATGGTATAGTGTTATAACTGTAGGGAGTTCAATGAAGACGTTTTCACCTTGCTCTGTCTGCGCCTGAACTAATCTGCCTATCTGCTTGTCGTACCTTCCGATTTAGTAAAGCACGCAAATATCAAAAGACAAAGGCTGGACTGTGACTGTGTATTGAAGTGCAACAACGACAAAGAAAGCCATGGTATTTATACATTTTACAACAATATGGACAGCTAACAGCATTTGAAATAATTGATCTTAATAGCCAATAACAAAGTGCGTGAGAGATGATAATATACCATATATGCAAGATTAACAGTCACTACCAAAATGTGTGGGAATGATAATATACCATATATACAAGATTAACAGTCACTACCAAAATGTGTGAGAATGATAACATACCATATATGCAAGATTAAACAGTCAATACCAAAATATGTGGGATCCTATCACCTCTCCCCGTAAAGAGTGTAGGACTTGCTTTTTGGATCTATTTGAAAAGGTTTCGGAGCTCTTCTTTGTCGAGTTGACCTTTGCGTGGTACTGGATAGAGCGTGATCTGTGTGTCTGACACATAACTGTCCTTTTTCATTCGTACGATAATGCAGCAAGAATTTATCCAAAATTTTTTCTGTTGTTCCCTCCCCCTTCGCTTTTGCATAAGCACGCTTAAAGGTGTCGACGAAACGTTCAGTCTGTCCATTCGATTGGGGATGATACGGGGGGCTACGAATATGCTGGATGCCAAACAGTTTGCAGCAACCAAGTTTGTCCTGGAAGACAGAAGCGTGCTTTTGACGACGGCGTTGCAAGAGAGATTGATCAGATACATCTCCGGGAACAACGTTGTGTGGTGAAGACGAAACATTAGAGCATACTGAATTTAATGGTACATTAAAGATATGGAGCTTGTCTAACCAGTCAAGACCAAGCAAATCCAAATCATGGTAGTTTGTAACGTAACATACACCATTGAAGTGATGCTCACCAAACTGAACCTGGCAATTTATCTCACCCACGAGTTTCAGTATATCTCCAGAGACATTCTTGGCGACATGCTCGGTCGGCAGAATCTGTGGGCAACCAAGTTTGCGCCACGTAGTTCGGGAAATTACGGTGATATCTGATGCCGTATCCAACTGAAGACGAATACGTTTGCCGTTAATATCTAGTGTTATGTACTTACGTTTGCTGGCGAACTCGACTTTGGAAGTAGTGAAAACGGTCTGTACTCGAGGAGATTGTTTCGGCTTGAAACGACTACTTCTGTTCCTCACCGAAGAATTTTTCTGCGGTGTACAGTAACCCTCCTTATGTCCAAAACGGTGACAATTACGGCATTTATGTTTCTTGAAAGGACAGAACTTGACAAAATGCCACGAACCACAGTGCCAGCACACTGAAGGAGGTTTAGCTGAATTCTGAGACTGACGTGTTGTGTGCTTAACGGTGATCGGAGGACTTTTCACTGTGTTAATCGAACCAAATTCAGACGACTGTCGTTTGCACTCCACCATAGCAGTATCGTGCTTCAAGTTGATTAAACGTAGGCATTCTGCTGTCACCATTTGTAAAGTCATTTTCGGGTCTTGTTCCACGAGTGACAGAAGTCGAGTTCGTATGTCAGTATCTTCTGGGTTCTTCAACCCACAAATAAAAATCAAACACTTGAACTGATCTGATGTCATTTCGTGTGGTTTGAACCTTTCACATTCCTTGTTCACTTTGCCAGCGTAAGTGACATAATCATCGGAAGGCATTTTTGTCAACTGAAAACATTGATACCGAATATTAAACATGGATGACTGTTCACCAAAGATTTGTGATAAAACGGTGACTGTCTCATCGAATGATAACTCACGTGGGTTCTTAGGCAGAATGAAGTTAACATATCTGTTGTGCTCAACAGTACCAAGTTTTCTTAGTAACAATCGGACTTTGGCAGCATCATCAAACATGTAGCATTCAATACGGAAGACGTCTTCGTAACGATTGAACCATGCATCAAATACGAGACCAGATATTGGGTCGTAGTTGAACTCACTGATGGAATTTGAGATGCTTTCATATTTGTCAGAATGAGATGTTGATGGAACTTGAATGGACAGCTTCTGAGTGAGAGCTTCGATTAATTTTAGTTGAGCTGCTTCATTCTGAACTTGCTGCTGCTGCAAGATAGATTTGAGATCGTCCAGAGAGATAGACATTGTAATTGGGTTGTAATTAACACAGTCAAAAATGTTATATAGTTGCGCTGAACAGAATAAAAACTGTCGTCGTTTGCTTGCTATAACTGCAATGAATTAAGGTAAACCCCGTCGCCAATTTGTTATAACTGTAGGGAATTGAATGAAGACGTTTTCACCTTGCTCTGTCTGCGCCTGAACTAATCTGCCTATCTGCTTGTCGTACCTTCCGATTTAGTAAAGCACGCAAATATCAAAAGACAAAGGCTGGACTGTGACTGTGTATTGAAGTGCAACAACGACAAAGAAAGCCATGGTATTTATACATTTTACAACAATATGGACAGCTAACAGCATTTGAAATAATTGATCTTAATAGCCAATAACAAAGTGCGTGAGAGATGATAATATACCATATGTGCAAGATTGACAGTCACTAACAAAATGTGTGGGAATGATAATATACCATATATACAAGATTAACAGTCACTACCAAAATGTGTGGGAATGATAATATACCATATATGCAAGATTAACAGTCACTACCAAAATGTGTGAGAATGATAACATAACATATATGCAAGATTAAACAGTCAATACCAAAATATGTGGGATCCTATCATATAGCTTGCCTTGTAACTAGAAGGCACTAAGTTCGAGCCCCAGAGGGTGCGTACTTTCGGTGATTCCCAAACTAGGATGAAACAGCTGTCTAGTACTCCCTGGTTTTGTGTGCATCGATGGCACAGTGGTTAAATGCTCTCGAACCACACCTCATATGATTCAGCGTTCGATCCTCGGCCACTGACGTAACCGTTCACCTCGCTAAACCAGTAATAAAACAGGTAAAGAGGTAAGTTTCTACTGAGCATTAGGCTAGCAACCTCATCCCGTAAAAAAATAAACACCACTACCAACGAAATTTAAAAGCTCTAGCTTGAAGCACTATGTTCCATTGGGAATGTAAAGCAATAAAGTAATAATGAATATAAAGATAATGTATACCAAAAAAAAATAACAGCATAAATGAGAACTGTTCACTTACCAGTACCAACTAAATGTGCAGCTCGATTAATCACCACAAAACTGATATAACGAACACCAACTAAATCTTTCCGGTGAATTTCAGTCATTTTAAAACGTTGTCGTAGAACCATTTCAGCACCGAAACAAACATTTAGTGGATCACTTACCCAGTTAGTAATATACATATTGGAAAAAGAGAGATTAGAAAGAAATTATAAATAAGTGGAAGTGTGTGGAAAAAGCAAAATGTTATTATCACGAATGCTTGCTTATCACTTAGATTGCCTGCTTATTATAAGTTACCAGGAGAGATTTTCTTCAGTTTCTAATTATCCTTCAAGTTATGACTAACAATATATATATATATATAAGTGAAATGGTCAACAGGAATGCATCGTTCCATAGGCACTGGCACATAACTGTGACATATATGTGTAAAACCTGGGCACTGTGGTAGTAAGTAATTCCATATTAGTTTGTTTATTAGACGTATCACACAGTGAAACAATATTAGTATTTACTGGATGACACAGTTTCGAAGACAATTTATTTATTGTTTATAATCATATCAGTTATAATCACTTGAGTTTTATAGCTTTCTTTGTTCTCTCCTATTTTTCATTGTTGGGGTAGTAGAAATTTCCAGATATCTTAGTGGACTGGTGCTGAATCATTCCTGTTACACGTATTTACAGTTGATTCGATAAACGAAGCTCTAGTTATCAATCTTTCCCTCCATTTACCCTGTTACATTAGATTTTAAAAGTGTCATCTTATCCCATCATCCTATTGTATGGTTGTGTGTAATTGCATGTAGTGATATAGCTGAACTGTTATCTAGATTTTTTTATCTTATTCGAGTCAACTAATCTGAACTTCGCCAGGTTTTATGTTCGGCTAGTCTGACTGCCAATGTAATACACATAAAAGAAGCCTTGAAACCTAATAAATTACCCGGATAAATTAGTCAAGAAATATGTAAGTAAATGTAAAAATAAAACAAATAATGATAATAGCGATATTGATAATAATAATAATGATACCAATAATAATAATGATAATAATATTGGTGATAATAATAATAATATTAATGACGACACTAGCAATAAAGAATCTAAATCACCAGTAGTACATCCATACAATGAAGGAACCTCGGAAACCATCTTACGCAGAATTCTTGACAATACTGGCAGGAATAAAAGTGGCTGGCATTCAAACCACCCAAAAACTCAATTAGAAACAAGCTTTGTCGGTTACAGGGTCAATCCTGTGGAGCCAATAAAACAAAACAATTTAGTTTATCCAATAACCTACCTACAATTATTGTCAGGTCAAATACATGGGTCAAACTAGTGGAACCGGCGGCAGTCAGACTAACAGAGTACAAAACCTAGTAAAATCTAGATTGATTGACGCTAATAAGATAAGAAATCTAGAGAATCGTTCAGCTATACTACTCACTTTATGCAGTTACAAACAACACATCCATACCTGAGGTATAGCAGAGGAAAACAAAGAAATAAACAAACAAACAACAATAGGATGTCATTCCATGATAAGGATTTTTATTCATTAAATATATCATACAGTCAGGCAAACAGCAGTATTAGTGTTTACTGGATGACACGGTTTCGAAGACAATTTATTTATTGTTCATAATCATTTCATCAATTATAACAACTTCTAAACTTGAGTTTTATAGTTTTCTTTACTCTCTCCTATTTGTCGTCGTTGAGGTAGCAGAATTTTACAGATATTCGTGTGGACAGGTGTTGAATCATTCCTGTCACACGTGTTTGCAGTTGATTCGATCAACAAAGCTTCCGCTGTTATCAATCTCTCCCTCCATTCACCCCCTGTGACATTAAATTTTAAAACTGTCATCTTATCCCATCATCTTATTGTATGGCTGTGTTGTTTGTAACTGCATAAAGTGAGTAAGTAGTATAGCTGAACAATTCTCTAGATTTCTTATCTTATTAGCGTCAATCAATCTAGATTTTACTAGGTTTTGTAATCTGTTAGTCTGACTGTCCCTGTTCTACTAGTTTGACCCATGTAGTTGACCTGACAATAATTGTAGGTAGGTTATTGGATGAACTAAACTGTTTTGTTTTATTGGCTCCACAGGATTGATCCTTTAACCGACAAAGTTTGTTTCTTTAAGTGTTGGTTTGTAGGGATTTGATTGGTTTCAGGATTTCATCATGAGCTGACAGTAGTTAGAGAACCATTGGAAAACCTGGGAGTACTGGACAGCTGTTTCGTCCTAGTTTGGGACTCTTCAGCAGTACGCACCCCACCGCGATTCGAACCCAGGACCTTCCGGTTACAAGGCGAGCTTGTATACCATTAAGCCACTGGGACCCGATCCAATGGTCCTTGAATTCTAACTTCTGCCAAATTAGCTAGCGGTCGCGCTATGTTGTGAATTGGCAGAAGTTAGAATTCAAGGACCATTGGATCGGGTCCCAGTGGCTTAATGGTATACGAGCTCGCCTTGTAACCGGAAGGTCCTGGGTTCGAATCGCGGTGGGGTGCGTACTGCTGAAGAATCCCAAACTAGGACGAAACAGCTGTCAAGTACTCCCAGGTTTTCCAATGGTTCTCTAACTACTGTCAGCTCATGATGAAATCCTGAAAGTTTGTTTCTAATTGAGTTTTTGGGTGGTTTGAATGCCAGCCACTTTTATTCCTGCCAGTATTGTCAAGAATTCTGCGTAAGATGGTTTCCGAGGTTCCTTCATTGTATGGATGTACTACTGGTGATTTAGATTCTTTATTGCTAGTGTCGTCATTAATATTATTATTATTATCACCAATATTATTATCATTATTATTATTGGTATCATTATTATTATTATCAATATCGCTATTATCATTATTTGTTTTATTTTTACATTTACTTACATATTTCTTGACTAATTTATCCGGGTAATTTATTAGGTTTCAAGGCTTCTTTTATGTGTATTACATTGGCAGTCAGACTAGCCGGACATAAAACCTGGTGAAGTTCAGATTAGTTGACTCAAATAAGATAAAAAATCTAGATAACAGTTCAGCTATATCACTGCATGCAATTACACACAACCATACAATAGGATGATGGGATAAGATGACACTTTTAAAATCTAATGTAACAGGGTAAATGGAGGTAGAGATTGATAACTAGAGCTTCGTTTGTCGAATCAACTGTAAACACGTGTAACAGGAATGATTCAGCACCAGTCAACTAAGATATCTGGAAATTTCTACTACCCCAACGATGAAAAATAGGAGAAAACAAAGAAAACTATGAAACTCAAGTGATTATAACTGATATGATTATAAACAATAAATAAATTGTCTTCGAAACTGTGTCATCCAGTAAATACTAATATTGTTTCACTGTGTGATACATCTAATAAACAAACTAATATAGAATTACATAACTGTGACATTCCTTAATGTTGACATTGTTCTCTTAAGTGTAACATACTGAAAATATAAAGATGTTAGTGATGAGAATGGTGAAATGTATGGAGAGTTATTACTTCCAGGCTGTTCACACCATGGAAATTGATTTATTTCTAAAATATCTGCCACACAAGAACAATTAGTATTCCGTAATCGCAGAGATTAGAGGATAACAGCTTGAGGTCAGTCACACACACACACCCATGGCCTTTCTGAAGTGATTTTTGGAATTGTGTGCACATGAACATCTTGTCACCACTCAGGAACCATGACAGGTTAATTCGAAGCTGTAAAACCTTCGGGGTCGAGTTTTTTTCTACCCCTCTTGCCTATTGCAGAGAGACACCATAGCTGGTATGCTGGCCGCTATACTGCTATTCAGCAGCAGTAATATTTAGTCCTCAGACCACGCTCCCCTCGAACATAATGTAAAGGATTTACACTACGAGTCTAAGTGCTTTGAGTCGAATCGCTGTCCAAACAACCCTCTTGTTATGGTAGGAACTACACGAACATTCATTTAAGCATACGTAGCTCTTTTGGCGATTGCCACATACAATCTCGACTGACTAGTCAAGGCAGCAGCTGTCAGTTGGGAAAGTGCTTTTCCTTAGTGCTTTCAGAGACTGTAACTCCATTCGCTGGTAAGAGGTTGCAGAATTGCTTTATTTATAATTTTTTAAAGCAACATCTCAATATAAAATGACATTCTGTAACAACAGAAGACAAGGGCCAGGCAACAGATCGTTTTATTATGAAAATCAACACGTATTTATATATTTTTCACATACATTATTACAGCTTATGCAAGTAGACAAGCGCAGTCATCTGATTGGTTGTTTATCAGAAGTTAAGCAGACAAACGCAGGTTTCGGATTGGTTGTTTAGGTATTCCTCGACAAATAGAGTTCTCTATCTGCAAATCATATTTTGCCACGTTAACTTTGCTGTGATTGGTTGTTAAATCAGCCTTGTACATATTTTCTCACGGCCTGCTCTCACCACAATTCTTCTAAGGAGGACAGTCTTCAGTTTTACTATTTCACCTAGTACTAAAGAAATATCACTTAAGGTGATATATTATGAAGCATAATTGATACATTTGAAAATAAATTCTGCTTTACATATACTGAGTGTACGTCGCTGACAAAGCAGTAAAATGCTCACCAATCACGCCTCATATAGTTCAGGGTTCGATCCCCGGCCATAGACGCGCTCATTTACATCACTAAGCCATTAATAATGTAACGACCGAAGACAAGGGCCAGCCAAACAGATCGTTTATTCAGAAAATCAAGAGGTATTTATAGATTTTTATGTACATTATTATTAACGCTATTGTTAGCATAGAAACAACGTTTTCTGATTGGTTGTTTGCTTGCTGGAAGTTATTCTGTTATCTCTTTCTGGCCATTTCTTTGAAGGTCAAACCATATATATCTGCGAATCGTATCCGCCCGCACAAAGTCTGCTGTGATTGATTGTTAAGTTCCTCAAGGTTATTCTTTGTTCTTGTTTGTTTTTTTCACAGTCAAGATGTAGGAAGTAAACATTGACATAAATTGCTGTCTACAAATTTTGGCTAGCAGACAGCTCTCACCTTAATAAGACAGTTAGAGAGGGAAAGTTGGGCTGGGCATGAGGCTAGCAGCCCCAACCTATAAAAATAAACACCACCGCTACTTAGACTTCAAGTTTCTAGTTTGAAGGTGCCTTATGTTCCACTGGGAAAGTAAAGAAATCAATAATACATATACTGAAGGATAAATTGTAGAATTAGGTAGTTAACTGGCAGAAATTTACGTGTACATCCAGATCTAATGCTCACTGATACTCATTAGGAAATCTGGTATATTAGCAACGTCAAATAGTTTCGGTATCAAAATTTAGATCCACATTTGCCCCGCCATGGCTGAGAATTGACTGTGTAAGACTATATTCAGTACACTATAAACTAATGAGTGTTCCCTTCCTTCATAATTAATCCACAATGAATCTTATCTCCATGACTACGTCATACATTTGACTGTCAGAACTTGATGACAGCGTTGACTACTTATTGACTAATTCACGTGCGAAGAGAAATCCCAAAAAATAGAATAGCCTTCTTGGATATCATCCTTATAAGAAAACCAGATGATAATATAAAGAGAAGTTTGCATACGAAAAGCAATTCGACAGGATAATATACACATTTTCATAACTTCGGTCCTATCCAGTACAATAGAAATTCAGTAAGAACACTCAGCTTCAGAGTTAGAGCTATATGCCCAGAAAAGGTGATCGAAGATGAACTTAGCATTATATATGATGCCTTAATTGAAAATAGCTATCCAGAAAAGTTCATCAAGCAACACATAACCACTAAGAGGCTTTCATATATATGTACGACTTCAATTCAAGGGTGACGCGAAAAAATTTCCGAGATGAACTTATCTCATCTAAGAACTCATCTTAGAAATCACTGCAAAACTCTTCAAACATTAAAGAATTGACATTGCACCCAAACCAACAAAATCACATCACTCAGTTCTGTGTCAAACAAAAGACTCAACAACGAAAGAAGATAAAACCAACATCATCTACAAAATAAATTGTAACAACTATAAAAAAGACTACATTGCCCAAAGTGGAGTACCCTCCTATTCGTCTTCGTATTCATGAACATAAACTAGCCGTCAAAAGACATGATATCCACTCCATCACTCATATCACTATATAGAGACAACCACAAACATCAATTCGACTGGGACAACGTTCAAATATTAGACAGAGGAGACAACAAGAATGCTAGAGAATTTTTAGAAGCTTGGCATTCCAGTGAATCATCAATCAGTAGGCACGTCGAGATAGACAAAATTCACTAATCGATAAGGAGGAAATCTCACACACAAAGGGTCAAAGCTCAAGTCAAAGAAACAATCAGTTCCAACACAAGTAATTTAGAAGGTGTGAAAACACACAAAATCAATCAATCAATCACGTTCAAGGTCACCCACCAGGAGAGATGATTAATAAACTCGTGGAGAAATCCAAAAGCTCACATCAATTCAGATTGAAGTATGCGCTGAAGATGTCACCCAGTAGGACGATGAGAGCTTTCCAAATTAATTACCCAGATCAGAGAACACAACCGCATGAAAATCATTTCTAAGTATATCTACCTATTCAAATGCGCTTGTGGAGCGAGTTATATTGGCAGTCGCTCTGAGAACTTGATTTTTAGTGCTCTCTTGGGATCATCTACCAGTGTGGCAAAATAAAGGTGTAGTGAAAATGATCAACAGTTCCACATTAGACCACCTGCTCCAAACCGACCACGAAGCTAATGTTAAAGAGTATCTCTCCATCCTCTATCGGGTTCTAAGTAAATTGCCAAAAAACATCCAGATACCGCATACTCCACACAGCTGAGGCTATCGTGATTCACCTGAGACAACTGATTTTCTGTGTGCAGAAGGAGCGAGTCCAGCCACTACTACTCAGCTGAGAGCTCTCTGCTGGCCAAAATTGGTAGACAGCAATTTACGTCAATGTGTACAGCCCAAATCTGGGTCATGAGAAAAAACAAACAAGAACAAAGACTAATTCAACAACCAATCATCACAGCAAAGTTTGCGTGGGCGGATACCATTCGCAGACATATATGTGGTCTGACCTTCAAAGAAATGGCCACAAAGAGATGATAGAATAACATTCAGAGAAAAAACAACCAATCAGAAGACACTGTTTCTCTGCTAATAATAACGAATGATAATGTACACAAAAATCTATAAATATCTGTCTGGCTGGCCCTTGTCTTCTGTCGTTACAATACGAGGAGTAAATCGAAGCTTATATGCGATCATTGGGGCCAGTTAAACAGGGTTGTAAAGAACAGGATGAAATTGAAATATGCTTCAGAGACCTAACGTTTCACTAGAAACCCAAAGTAATGATAAATAATAATTGCCCAGGATTGATTAGATCTACTTGTTGTTCAATCAGTCAGCCAGTCGGTCATTTTCACTTAGCCCCTCAACATCGCTTCCAGGATAACTTACCGATCAATAAGAAAGACATGTTCATAGGTTAAAATATTTGGAGTTGTTAGCAGTTCTGGGGGGGCAACACCGCCGAATAATAATTTTTCTTCAACAGCTTTCAACATAATTACACGACATAGTTCACCAATGTATATTCCACTGCTTAACTTTTCATATCTACAACAAAAAATCGAAATAATAATAATAATTCCTGGTATAATGTAATGTCCTTGATATGTATCCACATAATATGTGTGTTTTGTTTTTCACAGTCTGTTATATTTTGCTATGTATTTTATATGGATCGATATTCCATTATAGTTGACAATATGTTTTTGTCTGTCCACTAACTAAATAAACAATGTATGACCTTGTTGTCACATGACATTACAACCAATCATGTTAAGACTGTCTATTGATTCGTTCATTTTTGAACATTCGCTCATACACTTGTGTGACATTGATTTTCCTTGTTGTTTTGAAAAAATATACAAGTATCATTGTGAACTTGGTGGTTTTCTGATTTCCGCATTTCTTGCGTCAGTCCTGTAGGTGGTTAGCAGGATGTTCCTTCTGACTGAGGTTTGTAAACAGCTAACACATTCTGCTAACAGATATTTAGACTTTATTACAACATCTCATTCATCCTTATCTGTAGTGGGGAAAGGTTTAGTTAAGTGTCTAACATACCGGACAGTAGCACTATAAGTAGTATGTCAAAAATAAACCTAAATGATGAAATAAAAGAGACAGAGGAAGAAGCGTTGGTGTCAAATAACTAATTGTCTTATAAAATTCACTAGGAAAATCAAAAAAAATTCAAAAGCAAAGTAAAAATGATGATGATGATGCAACTAGTAATGATAACATAAATAAGAGAGAGAATATAAGTTTCAATGTATACAGGATATAAATGCGTCGAATAAACAAATGTTGTCTTTGGATATAGAATCCTTATTTAAGAACGTTCCACTGACAGAGACCATGTGTTTTATATGCAAATGTATTGAAGATAACAATTTGAATATAGACATAACCACTACAGATCTTAAAGAACTACTTTTGAGATGTACATTGAATGTACAGTTTACTTTCAATGAAACAATCTATAGGCAGAAGGATGGTATTGCGATGAGTTCTCCCTTGGGTCCTCTCCATGCAGACGTTTTTATGTCCAGTCTAGAAAAATGGTTCCCTGAAGCCTATAATCCAAAGCTTTCAAATGTATAAATGGTATGTAGATGACACCTTTATTATTTGTAATATTGATTGTAACCTGAATAATATATTAAATGTATTTAATGAGTGCCATCCTGCGATAAAATTCACACTCGAAATGGAGAACGAGTCTAGCATTCATTTCCTCGATGTGAACTTATCAAGAAGGACCGATGGAACTCTGAAGAGATCGATTTATCGTAGGCTGTTATGGAATGGTCAACTGACAAATTTCTATAGCTGGGTACCTATTGGTCGAAAACGAAACCTGGTCCGGTCGCTTGCCACTCGTATTCGGCGCATTTGTAGCACTGATACTGTGGAAGATGAGTTATACACTTTGAGGAAAATCCTAATGGAAAATGGATTTCCGCCACGTTTTATAGATAAGAATATACATTCAAAGCCTACAAAACGTGACTTATCAACCGCTCCCAAGAAAATACTTTACATGAGCTTAGAATTCAAAGGGGACTTAGATTCCGATATCATGGAACGAAGGATATCACAGTCCCTGAAAAGAACATTCCGTGCTGCATCTCTGAGAATAGCCTATACTAGCCGACCATTATTGTTCAATAACCTGAGGGACAAGATCCCACCGTTTACCAACTCTATGTGCGTTTATCAATTCACCTGCTCATGTGGAGCCAGTTATATTGGTCGTTCGACTCGAATTTTGTCCAAGAGGGTGCAAGAACACTATCCTGCATGGCTAGAAAAAGGTGGAAGTGGAGCAATAAGAAGCGTGATCATAGAACATCTGGTCGATAATGATCACCCTATCTCCACAGCCTCCGTCTTTAAAGTCATTTACAAGGCAAAACGTAATGCACCAAAATCACTACGTACCCGACTCATCTGTATTACTGAAGCCACCTTCGGCTATCGAAACAGAAAAGCCAGATCTCTGTGTACAGAAAAAGTTCGTTCAACCCCTCCCCTCCAACTTTCATGGTCTTAATCCCTCTGTGCTAAAGTATGGTAATCTCTAACCATTTTTGGGCTCTACCAATTTTTAATTTTTTTTTCATTTAGTCTATTCACTTTGTATTCTTTTCCTTTATCAAGTCAATTGTTACTATTACTATTCTCACTTTGAACTGTCCCCGGTGTTATTTCATTGGCTTGTCATTCTAAATCAATTCTTTTTTTACAACGATAAATTCTATGCCATTAAATTTCACACAATATTACGTAACGTTTTTGTTTTATTCGATTTGTCTATTAATCCTATAATTGCACATCCTTTTTCAAGTTCTATCCCTTCTATGAATTATTCTATATATGACATTAATTTGCTTTGCCACTTGACATTTAACTACAATTATAATCACAAACATTTTAGTTTTAATCGAACTTCATATGATTATTATTATTATTTTATGCATTCACACCTAAGATTCAATTCCCTCAGCGGATATAACTTCTTAAAAACCATATATATACGACTGTACAGCTTGATGATAAATTCGTTGAAAAGATTCTCTTCGCTGAATCACTTGTTTTGATTTTCTATATGTTACAATGGGAATTTTCCATGAGAATATATGGTATCTACAGTAACTGTAACCATATAAGGAGGGAATATCTGAGACATTATGTAGGATTATTGTGTCATTAAAAAACCTATAAACTTGCTAAGGTCGGACAAGCTCTGTAAGTTGAAGGATCCTGTAGGCTGATCCAACCAAACAAAATAATATAATTTACGAAATACCATGCAATGACTGTGAGTGGGGTCTACCACATAGGTCAAACCAGTAGATACGGGAGTAGTCAGGTTTTCAGGAAATAAGAATTTAGCAAAGGTAAGAATGATTGACCCCACCTGCGAAGATAAGTAGTTTAGAAAAAAAAGCTAAACACTACATTGTACTGCATGCATTAAAACACACAACCACACAATAGGGTGGGCGGGAGAAGGTTAAAATGCTAAGATGTAATATAGGTAGGTGGAAAGAGAGGTTGATTGCTGAATCTATGTTCATCAGTCCTACACCCAACACTTTCCATAGGAATGCCCCATCACTCATATCACAAATATGGAAAATATTACTACCAATCGAATCAAGAGATGAGAAATAGTGGAAGCATATAAACGAAGTAGGAAAGATGTGTGAATACCATGATATAATTATGACGAGCAATAAATTGTGCTTGAAAAATGCTTATTAGTGAGTATTACTCTATAACAGTATGAAACTTTATCAAAATCTGTTTTGTGCATAATGAAATTGCGCTGCGCATCAATGACCTCACCAGAAATCAGAACCCATTGGCATCAAAATCAAGTCCGTTGACTAATTCAGCCACCTGGGCTGAAATTCAATGAACTGAGAATTCTGACTTCTGTGAGTTGATGATGTAGCTCTACTCTCAGTATTGCCTTCTATGAACACCCCCTTCGCCTTGATATACAAAGTGCACCCCACTTTCCACCACTTCTCACTAAAGCTTCAGGAATCTATCAAATAGCCACTAATCAGTTGGAGTTTGATATCAGGATTATTGGATTTGTTGGCTATTGGTTTGAGTCAACCTAATAGGGTTGTAGAGACTGACTGATTGTAAATTCTCAAATAGGTAAGAACTAATGGCCGCAGAGTATTAGTGACAGCTTCATATCTTTATCGGTAACTCTAAAGTCTTACGGATTCATTACAGACTGATTATTTACGCTGGAATTATTCTTTCTTCCGCAAAATTTTTGTTTTCTACAATTCCTTCTAATTTCTTTGCTCTGTATTTTCTAGTGTACTTTATGAAATGTGACAAATTGAACTGTTGAACTTCTGCGCAAATGTATGATAATATAAGTAGGATAACATCATATGAGGTGATGAAGACAACCAACCATCGACAACGACAACAACAAGCACCAGTCAATATCAGAAGGAGAAAAAAATTTAAAGTACATCACCTCTTCTGCTTATTTATCTAAGCAACATCCTTTCTGCTATATGTGGTATGCATGAAGATAATAAAGCCAGCTAGGACTGGAAACTCACGGCAGACCTTCATTATACTGGAATCAATGTGGAGGAAGTCTTCTACGCAGGGAGTATGAAACAAGACTTGGATTTTCTTTTATGAAAAATCCCCCATTTGAACATTAATAGACAGTAGTTGTTCAGTGAAGAGTCTCTTTTCGAAGGTGGCGAATTCATTTATTCATAGCTGTACAATCGCAAATATATATGTGGTTGTTTGTACGTGAATGTACATCAAATTTATCAAACGAAAATACAATTAGTAAGTTCAAATGAATTGGATGTTGATATAAGAGGGTAGTGTAACAAAAGTGATGAGTTGTCATAAACGATTGTTAAAGAAGAGTTACATAATAACAACATGAATAGTTTGATGAAAGAGTTGTACTCAGGGTGTACATGGAAACAAAATAACATGCAGAATTAGGCAAGAGTTTTAAATAGTTAGAAAAATAAGCATACAAATAAACGTTAAGCCAAATCAACGGAATTGTTACCATGAGAGTAGAAGTGGTTGAATAATTTTCTGTTGTATGCACAGTTCTAATCTTCCAACTGAATAGCTAGAGCTTCTGCAATACAAAGAAGATGGAAACGTATTGTCTTTGTGCAGGTTGTTATTCACTTTGTAGATCACTTAGAAGCAGGAAGTGTTTGTTGGGATGGAATGACCAGTGTTGACGAGATGTTCGATTATTGCACTCCTTATACGACCACTACTTCCTTTCTGCAGTCACGCTGGATTGTGTTCCTTGACCCTTTTTGACAGGATGCGCCTCGAACGACGAATGTACCTGGCTGGCTGCACAGCAACAGATGAACTGATAAATACAGATAGAAGTGGTCAGGTGCGAGATCTTGTCCTTCGGGCTTCTGCAGATCAGTGGACGACTGGAGGACACTACTCTCAATGTTGCCGCAAAGAACGTTCTTCTTAAAGAAGTAGAAATTCCCCTTAGGAGGACATCACTGAGTAGGTTCCCTTTGAAGTCTAGGTTCATATAGAGTATCTTTTTGGCACGGATGGCATTCATTGCTTTTGGATTTTCTGTTTGATGTTTTTGTTTATGAATCTTGGTGGAGAAACCGTTTTGTATGAAGATTTCTTTCAGGAAGTGTAGTTCTTCTTCCAGAGTATCAGAGCTGCAGATTCGTCAGACGCAAGTAGCAAGAGATCTAATTAGGTTTCTTTCTCGACTTTAAAAGCTTGTCAGTTGGCCTTTCCATGTGGGTTTCCTATGGGTGGACCTTCTTAAAGTTTCGTCAGCTCTCCTTGTAAGTACATCATCAAGAAAAGGAATTTTAGATCCATTTTTAATTTCGAGTGAACTTCGTAGCTGAATGGCACTTGTTGAATATTTGTAGTAACTGATTAAGATTGTGACCATTATCACAGATAATAAAGATATCGTCCACATATCTAGCATACAACTGGAAATTATCAATAGTTGATTTGAGTGAGCCATTCTCAAGGTTTTCCATGAAGCAGTCTGCTAGCATTGGGCCCATTGGAGATCCTATTGCGATCCCATCTTTTTGTCTGTAAATAACATTGTTGAATGTGAATGTACATCTCAGTAATAGTTCTTTTAAACAAGTCGTCGGTAATCCATTGTTCAGCTGGTTTTCGTCTATGTACTCAGAAATGTGAAAGACAGTTTCTATGAGTGGAACGTTAGTAGATAGTGACTCATTGTCAAGAGAGAGCCTTTTTTGTACCTTACATTGATATCTTGTATATCGTCGACTAAGGGAAATGTGTCACGAAGCGAATATTGGCACATCTGTTTTCGTACATGTTCTAAAATGTCAGCTCACCATTTCACTATTGCATGGGACAGGGACTCGATGGGAGGTTTAGCTTTATGTATCTTTGGTAAGCCGTATAGTCTTGGTATTATTGATCCTGTCGGTCGAATGTGATCATAAACCTGTTCGGTTTGCATTCTTTTAATAATAATAATAATAATAATTTGCTTTATTCCAGAAACAGTACTAGTGATAGAGTATGGAATTTTAAGCACATATCTACAATATTGCATCTAATTTAATAAACATTTAAAAGGAGTATTACAAAAAAAATAAATATAAAAAACAACAAAAACAAAAAATGCGAAAAAATACCAAAAAGTAGAAAATGAAATAGAAAACATAATAAATAATATCTCAGTATTGGGTAGCAGAAGTGTTGTGATTATTTGTACTAGTAGTATTAGTATTTCGAGATGACCGAATTACAAGACTTCAACCAAAACACAAAGAAGTAGGAATTCTGTAATTTGTATTTGGCGGAATTATTATTCAATTCATATAAGAAATATATTAACAATCAACAGTAAGTATTTAAACAATACAGAGATAGGAATTGTCAATCACCACAAGAAGCTATGATATGTTTATGCGTGGTGAAGAGTAACAGCTATAATCATACAAGAAGTTATGAAATGATATATAAGAATGATTAGCGCCAAGATGATCAGTTAATTTGATTGAACTACACTAAAACAATCATGAAATAAACATTTCAGGGTTATTTTGCTGTCAGCTCTAATGCAGTGTTTGTAGTGGTAGTGTGAGTAATCTTGCATGATACAAAATTTTAAGATGGTGATAATGGCGTTCACAACCAAGATTACCAGTTAATATTGCCGAACAAAAAACAACCACAAAACTAATATTAGCATGATGGTTTATGACAGGACAACTTTGTAATACTCCTAGTGCTAATACAGTCAGAACCAGTAGATACACAAAAGAAGGAATAGAGTAAAGTACAAAAAAGTAAGCCAATGTTAATAATTTAGGTAGCTTAGTATGTTTACGAAGGTGTTCACTATAGAATACAAATAATAGAGAAAAATAAAAGAGCCAAAATTATGTTATTAACAAGAAAGCAGGTCATAGGTTTCGCGCTTAACATTGTCTCTGTCACTTAGAACACGGGCTGGCCAAATATGGTATCGTTGAGTTTCTATACTTGGTTGTACGAGCACATATTATTTTGTACTGATTTCTGGTTCTACCTGATGAGATGCAAGAAGAGAGTTGGGAATAGAGGGGGTGTTGGGCGTCGGAGAGTATGGTTTTAGACCATTTTTCGCACGTATTCAGATGGTGATCTACTAATGTATTGACGAGCTGACTGAGTTTTACACCACTAACTACCTTCAACATCCTTCTCAGGATGGTATAGTCATTTTTCAGTAGCCCGGAAAAGACTAATGGGGAGCAGTAAAGTAGAATATGTGAGATACGAGAGTTGACAAATTGTGAAAGTAGAGGTTGGGTGATTCCAGATAGTCTAAGTTTCTTAATGTAGTAGACTAGATGGAACACTTTCTTAGAAATCGCTAGGATATGAGATGTCAAAGTAAGGTCGGAAGATAGAACTAGGTATTTTGCATTACACTTAGTTTCAACTTTAATCCCCTCAATGCTACAGGCTTCATGAGTACTTACTAGTATTTGTAGATCTTGTTTATGCCTAGAGGAGAAGTCAATAGTCTGGCATTTTGAGGGATTCAGCATGAGACCATTTAGTTTAGACCATTGACTGATGTCCGACAGGAAGTTATTTAATTTGATGAAACAGTCTGTCTTAGACTGTTAAGGATATCAGCGAGTTGTTTTTCAACACCGATGTCAAATTAGTTCTTCTATTTGTTTTAAAGAATATTTGCGTCAGGAGAAGCATTTCAAACAGACTGCTGCAGCGTTTCATCAACATCTGCCTTCATTCCATACTGAAGGTCAGGTTACCGGCCAGAAAGCATATGCAACAAGAAACCCTGGTAACAAGCCAAATACGGAGACGAATGGAACACAGACTGAAGGCACCGCTGGGTGGTGTCACCTACCAGACAATTAGGTGGAAACAGAGTTGGAAACTGGGGGAATTCGTGTCAGGAGGAGACGGGAGCTTATTAGTAATCGTTGACAATTGAGTGGAACGAAGACGTAGTGTTGAATCCCTTTATATATATTCCAGTATGAACCTAAAGGGAATTACAATGATCATTTACTAACGACGCATCAGTCAACAGTGTGAAAAGAATCTCTAGAATGGTGAGGTTATAAAAACTCTTTAACTTACATACAACATCCTGGTTCAGAAGAAAATTTGTCTATCAGTTTATCATATTCCGTTAAGTAATCATCTAAGCATCCATCTTCACCAATTTGTCCCCATTCAGCATTCAACAATAATAGCGAATTTCCAGGATTTTCTGATCGAGACAATTTTGGTACATCACTGACTTTTTCTAGACAACAAATATTTGAACCATGACCTGAGGTAAAGCAGAGGAAAACAAAGAAATAAACAACAGTAAGATGTCATTCCACGATAAGGACTTTTATTCATTAAATATATCATTCAGTCAGGCAAACAACAGTATTAGTATTTACTGGATGACACAGTTTCGAAGACAATTTATTTATTGTTCATAATCATTTCATCAATTATAACAACTTCTAAACTTGAGTTTTATAGTTTTCTTTACTCTCTCCTATTTGTCGTCGTTGAGGTAGCAGAATTTTACAGATATTCGGCTGGACAGGTGTTGAATCATTCCTGTCACACGTGTTTGTAGTTGATTCGATCAACAAAGCTTCGGCTGTTATCAATCTCTCCCTCCATTCACCCCCTGTGACATTAAATTTTAAAACTGTCATCTTATCCCATCATCTTATTGTATGGCTGTGTTGTTTGTAACTGCATAAAGTGAGTAAGTAGTATAGCTGAACGATTCTCTAGATTTCTTATCTTATTAGCGTCAATCAATCTAGATTTTACTAGGTTTTGTAATCTGTTAGTCTGACTGCCCCTGTTCCACTAGTTCGACCCATGTATTTGACCTGACAATAATTGTAGGCGGGTTATTGGATAAACTAAATTGTTTTGTTTTATTGGCTCCACAGGATTGATCCTTTAACCGACAAAGCTTGTTTGTAATTCAGTTTTTGGGTGGTTTGAATGCCAGTCACTTCTATTCCTGCCAGCATTGTCAAGAATTCTGCGTAAGATTTCCGAGGTTCCTTCATTGTATGGATGTACTACTGGTGATTTAGATTCTTTATTATTAGTGTTGTCATTATTCTGCGCATGTGTATCATGCATGTCGTCATTAGTATTACTACTGTCATTATCACTATTATTATTTTTACATTTCCCTACATATTTAGTTGGATTTTTTATTTTCCCGCCGATTGATTGAATCGAAGTGCTCGGTCTCAGCTCAACATGTTCCACTTCTTGTGCAGATGCTTCGACGATGTCTAGGCATTTAATTAGTATTATTGGTCTAGTGGATAACGCTTTGGCGTTTAAAACTATGCGGACTGGGTTCGAGCCTCGGCGGGAACATCATCACTCATTGACAAATGCAGGTACATCCAGATGATGAGCCCAAAATAGAACGAAATGTGCATCGTGGATTCCACTGCTAGTCACCATCCACCAATTAAATATTAAATTTCCCTACATACTTTCTGATTAATTTATCAGGACAATTATTAGGTTTTAAAGCTTCTCTTATATGCCTCACTTGCTGTCTTCGATTTCTTTTGGTACTAGTTAGTTTTGTGCTCTATTATTTAAACACTTTACCAATCCTATTTTCAATGACATAGCATGGTATGGTCAGAAATCTAAATGTCTGTTTGAATGTGTGGGTTTCCTGTGAACACCAGTGTGTGTTTAACTTCCCATCTTCTTTCATTTTTACGCTACAATCTAAAATTTAAAGTTCCCCTTCCTAACTTTCCAAATGATCATAAGTGAACTGAATAGCCTTCACCTTTGAGTTGATATGTTCAAAAAATCTATCCATACGCTGTGTTCTAAGTACAGTTAATGTGTCATCTACATACCTCCACCATACTTTTGGAGGGGGACTGAACGTTTCAATCGCTAAGTTTGCCTACCTATCCATGAATATGTCTGCCACAACTGGGCATATTGACGACCCCATAACAACTCCCTCAGTTTATTTGTAAATTTTCCCCTGGAATTTAAATACTGTGGAAGTCAAGCATAGCTGCACTTCCAGCATTATTTACTCCAGCAGTGACACTTTCGTTCTAAGTTCAAGTTGTTGGTCAGAAATGAGTTCGTTTCCGACTACCTCTATAGCCATATTTATTAGTAAACGTCTATATAAACTGACAATGTCAAAACTAACTAATTTTTCTCCATTATTTAATTTTAAATTATCTAATCTGTATGTTTTAGTTCCTAAGAATTAGTTAGTCTAGATTTTGAGTGGCTTTTAAAAGGATGTCAGTTTTTTGTCAATATTTTCTGTCTTTTTCTGAAAAGAATTCCCTCATGATGCAGAATTCGCCTAAAAGGTTAGAATAAACCGAAGTCATTGTCTATTAGTTTGGGTTTGTAAGGGTTAGTTCTGGTTTTTACGAGTTGATCACGGATTGATATCAGTTAGATAACCATTGAAAGAAAAACAGCACTGGAGTACTGGACAGTCAGCTGTTTCATCCTAGTTCGAGAATCATTGGCAGTACGCACCCACCATAATGGTTCCAACTCAGGACATTCCGGTTACAAGGCAAGCTGGTTCATATACCATTCATCTATTCACTGGGACCCGATTCAGTAGCCAGCTCATGAATTCTAACTTTTACCAATTCGTTATTTAGCACCGCCACCAACCAATGTCATTGGTGGGACACCCATCCTCACACACTGGACTGACTGAACCTCACTGGTCAGGACTTCTCACTAGAACTGCGTGAAGCTCCTTCATGGGCCATTGAATCGGGTCCCAGTGACTGAGTGGTATACGAGCTAGCGTGCCTCGTATACGGAAGGTCCTGAGTTCGAACCCCAATTTGGTGGGTCAGTACTGCCGATGATGATGTGTGCGTCGGTGGCACAATGGTTAGGACTCTCGCCAACCATGCACATGGTCCGGGGTTCGAGCACACGCCGACCCACACTTGATATCTATGGTCGGCCGGCGAATTTTGGGCTACCGATATCCACGCTGAAAATTCCATACTTGTACCAAAAATACGGTGTGGAATCAAGCTGTAATCAAAAATAAAAAAAATAAAATTCCCAAACTAGGACAGAGGAAACAGCTGTCTAGTATCCCAATGCTGGTTTTCAATGGTTCTCCTAATGATAGCAATCTCTGGTCAACTCGTAAAAACAAATCTAATCCTTACAAACCAACTATTAAAAATTATTGTTACTACTATTACTGACTTTACAATTCATAGTGTTTTAAATTTCCTTCTCTAATAACTAGGCCTTTATTTAAATCGAGTAACTGAACTAATGACGCATTATTCTCCTAACTGTAATCTCTAATACCTCTTTCCCGCTTATCTGTCTATGCTTGACAAATAAGACAATTGCATATGTCATTTTGCATGATTAATTCAACGCGATTTAATTACTTATCAATTACAAATTTCTCAATGTTTCTCCAGTGGGATGAACATTAAGGTATGTGGAGTATTTACCCGTGGAGTTGCACCGAAATTCCATAAGGTCATTAAGTCCTGCTTCATTGGCAACATTTGTTGCTTGTCTTTAAAAGAAAATATAATCTGAACACATATATATATATCCTTTCTCATTATAGCATTATAGCGCTGTTTGTTGCGTGAGAATTTTCATACATGCTTTTTCTACCCCTTACGTCAGAAAGCGACTGAGTCTATGAGTTTTTGAATTTCCATCAACCTAGATATGTACCTATACATAACCAACACCATCCTGTACTAATGATAGATGACTGGAGGAAATTGTCAGGAAGTCCTGGAACTAGGTGTCGTGCTTGCTGACATTTACCAGTCAACAAGGTGCGTCTGCAATTTTTCAGGAACTCAAGTCCCTTCTGCGACTCGAACCCAAATCAGCACCCAATACTGCAGTTAGAGGCATTAACACTGAGCTATTGAGGTTCTCGACTAACCTCCTGAAAGGCTTAGCTGAAGGTTATGATTGGTCAGTTGGCAGTAACCAGTAAGGACGACATTACAAACTTGGGCTGACAAAATTCAGTCTGCACAAACCCAAAGGACGGACGCCTGATATAGTTTACTTTCAAATGATTGATCAAAGTATCCACTACATTCCTACGGATGCTCAATCACTGGTCCGAATAACTCAATGGTAACTACTCTAACTGCAGCACTGGGTAATGTGGTTTCTGGTTGCGAATGGGACATAAGTTCCTTCAGGACTGCAGACACCCTTTACTGACTTGTGACTGTCAACAAGCACGAAACCTTGATCCGGAGATTCTTGGCGATTTTTTCTATTCCTTTACGTTCCCAGTGCTAGGACATATGGCCTCAAGCTAGATGCTTGGAGTTTCTGTAGCACTGGTGATTATTTTTACAGGATGGAGTTACTAGCCTCATGCTCAACCTTCCTTCTTTACCAGTCTTATAACTGGCTTACCGAGGTAGAAGAGTGCGTCTGTGACCGGAGATCGAATCCCGGAACACCAGCGTGGTCGGCGATCACTCTACCACTGCGCCTCCAATTACCTCACATCAGTTCAGTGCGCACCACAATGAAGATTCATCTAACACGGTGACCACATTTCAAACCTAAGTGAGAGTTTACAGTCTGCATCAACCCAAGGACTGAATTCATGAGATTGGTTGATACCCAGTGATCAATCAAAATAACTATCCCGTATAGAAAATCGGTTCCGGAGATTCGGTTTGGATGAAAGCTTAACGTAGCACAGTCGATACATGGTCAACAGTTAAGCAACAACCATTGGTGACTCCATCCCTGTGTCAATTATCTCCCTGAACGTCCAGACTCCTGCTCGAACCTCTGATCCACTGTTTTTAAATCGATCGCATATGTCAATGAACCACAGCTCCATAAGGGCAAAAATTCACGAAAACTCTGACTATTAGAAGGAGTAAACTGAGGAACTGATATATCTAAGATATTTAGGAATAAATGGTTAGGTGTGATGAATAATATATTGAAACGGTTGATGGTCAATATTAATACAACCTAGAGTGTTGATTCAATAGTGAAATAAATAAGGCCTCTAGAACTATTTGAAGAATATTTTACCGCATCTCCATTTAACCTTACATAAGTGCGTTTATTTCATTTAACATATATAATGGTTCAGTATTGTTTACCGGATGACTTACCAAGCGACACTTCTTGCTTACCATAATATCATGATGGTTAGACTAAATTCAAACATTTACTGTTAGTTTAATTTTCACTTTCCATTGACTGATTATTTCTGATCAGAATATTCAGTGTCTTCTGATACACTGACTGCCAAAATGAACGCTTCGATAATGTCAAATGATCGCTGCGAAGTTATTTTGGCTAATGGTTACTAGTTGTAGAATCCAGGATGCGTATTTCGACGTGTTTGGAACCTGTCAGCTAGATGAACTTGAATTCCCAGTGAATCGGCTATTGTCAATCGCACATGTAAACGAATCAATCGGAAATCGTTGACAGGTGATCATTTTATCTGTTTAGAGGCTGAAGGTATTGACGTTCGTAGATTGTACAGAGTATACTAACGCAAGATCTAATACCAACAACTTATATAGTATTCGTTCCTCGTAGACCAAAGGCAAAGCAAAAGTCACTATTTGATCGTCCAAATTACGACATATATTCCGGGACCAAATTTGAGTCCAAGGTGATTGCTTAGCTGGCTAGTGATCGCGCATGAACGTGACACGATGGAGTATCAAATGACATGGATGCTTAACCGGAAGCCTTCAGCCAAAACAAGTCGACTTAAACAGTGAGGGTCAGCATCCAATGTTCAGTCATGATTGCTGTGGACAATAATTTTGGGGAATTATTTACCGCTACATCTTTACCCTGCTCATCAATATCTAAGACTTGTTTTCATAATAACACTCTCATTAAATAGACTAGAAAAATGCCCACAAATAAAGTCGCAGAGATGTTGGAGATGAATATTAGCAATTAGTCAACCTTCTCAAAATTCCCAAGTTGATCCATTCTAGTAGTTAGAATTCAACTAAACTATATGCTCTTCATTCCGTGCCGTTAACATCCATGCAAGGAGGAACACCACAAACAGATCTACGAACCAATAACTTAAAGCTAATCCCATCAACGTCTCATGTCCCTGCTTTTACCCAAATGACTATCAAAGCGCAGATCATAGGCAGTATGGTTTCAAATTTACCCAAAGAAAAAGAGATAACATATGAATTGTACTCATTCGTTACTTTTTAAGGAGTTGGTTTTATATATTCTTCCCACAGATGTGTCTAACATCAAAACAGCTATATTTATAAGGCGCAGCAGGGAAGGCTAGGATCAGTTTAAGCCACTGCTGACTCAACTAACTCAAAAAAACATTACTGGACAACCTTGAATCCTGACACAATGAGACCAGCTTATATATTACGCATTTTTGCGTGATAAAATCGCTTTTTTCTCTCTGGTTCGGAACAATCTGTTTTCTGCCTTCATTTATGCGGTATTTGAGGGCCAAAAGTCAATGTAAATCATTACTTGGTATTTGAACATATGAGGAGCCGCTTATCTCCCTTGAATATCGAACCTTATTCTCGGCATTTTTATTAGCGCTAGACATTTTAACTAATATCATATTTTGATATTACTCTCAGCTGTATTTTTGGCGTTTATACCAACATCAAAGTTTAACAATTAACTGGTTATTTAATCCTACTTTAACAGGTTTATCAGTAAATTATTAAACATTAATATTAGATACTTACTGTGTTTCAAACCAAGAGCACAATCATTATCTTTCCATGCGCAAGCAAAAAATACACAAACTGCATCATTTGCAATAGCAGTTACTGATACTTTTAATCCCTAAAAAGAATATATATATATATATATATAAAGCAAATATATGGAAAAACCCTTCTTTTGAGAGCTTCTTGTAATTTTACTGGAAAATTTAATCCTATAAGACTATTGATTGAAAATTCTTTAACCCATTTTATCACATAACCATCTCGTATACTTGTCTGTTTCATTGGAAACATGAAACATATGCCAAGAGGTATATTTTCTTCATTTATATTTTTAAGAATATAGAAATCATGTATAGTTTCTGCAATGTAGTTAAACACCTAGAAAGATGAAGTGATTATTATTCACTGTAGTATTACCGTCTCTGCATTGCTGGATCTTAACTGACGAGAAATAAAGTAATACTCTTCTTCTTTTTTTATCTCTTGGATGTCTTCTGATACAGTTGTCAAAACTAAACGATAATACTTTCCTTTGAAATCTAAACACAAATATCGACCGGGTTCTGTTACATTATCGTATGAAAGAAAAAAGCAAGAAACTCAACTCAACAATCCAGATTTCTTTTCTAAGAAGGTGTTTAGCATTTTCATCCCCTTCAAAGACTTATCATCTACAGTTTTCAAAGCTCTCAGTGTATTGTCAGTTATTATGTCTAATATTTCTTCACATCTTCCCATATTCAAATCCACGGGTTGACATAGTCTGCATAACTATAAAGTTGTTAAATAAATTGCTTAACTTACTCCAGTAGAAACAAGGTCACAATAACTTAGGCCATAATTTACTGGACGCAAGGCTGAGTTGCCGCTGCAAGAATGAGTGCATTAATTGAGAATTTGAACGTGCCTTTTAAGAGAAAGAAAGGATGAGATACGTCTGATGGCTTAATTAGTACGGAAGTCACTTCTTACCGTCTAGTCATATTAATTGAACAGTAACTTGTAAAGGTATTTAAAAGAGCCGCCGTGGAATGACCTAGCTTAAACTTCGAAACAGTAACAACAGAAAGAAAAATTTTGAAACTCAAGTTGTCTGTTATGGAAGAAGGTGTGAGATTAATTGTGGCTACATATCTCTTTTGTGGATTTAGGATACTTATTCTTAGAAATAAGACAGTAAATATAGACTGAACTGTATGTTATTGTAACCTCGCCTAGTTAGCTAGCTTTCTAGTTTTCTAGGCGGTTAAGAGCCCGGGAAAGGAGGAAGAGTTGGAACTGCTGATCTCACGCCGCTAGACCTATCAAACCTCTGGAGAAACTTCAAGCCACAGAAGACACATTAAAAATACAGAAACTTCGAATAACAACAATCTTAATCTTCGCGCGAATCGGAGAGGCGAAATGACCCAATGGACTAGTGGAAGCCTTCTGGAAGCCAGTCAGCCATCCGATGTGTCTTCTCTCGATGAAAGCAAGAGTAAGAATGAGGACCTGGAATGTCCGTACAATGCACGAGACTGTGAAGGCTGGCCAGGTAGCTAAGGGAATGAGAACATATGACGTGGAAGTCCTGAGTATCTGCAAGAGCAGATGGAATGAAAATAGATTGTCAGAACTGTCAACTGAAGAGCCTGTAATCTACTCGGTTCATCCAGACGACAACTGCGAGCACAGTGAGGCAATGAGTGGCTGTAATGATGTCCCCAGTGGCACCTGAAGGTTCAATGCAGTGGGAACTAATTTTATCCAGGATCATGACAGTGAGATTCGATTCCTAAAGGAGGAAGGTTGCCATTATTCAATGCTTTACACAATGCTACAAACTTCTCGGGACAAGAAAAGAAGGAAGATTTTTACAGACAACTACAAACAGTAATGGATAACATCCCGAATGGTGACATCAAAATCCTTATGGGCGATATGAATGCAAGGCGAATTGGAAGCAGATATTTGAACAAAGCAAAAACTACAGTTTTAGCAGAATAAAACGATACCATCTTTTATTTCGTTGCCTTCTCGTCAGCTGCTTACATGGCAAAGACATCATTAAATATATCCACAACAACAATTTTAACATACTTGCACAGAGATAATACGGGAAGAGAACTTATCATGGGTCGAGAGGCTCTCACCCAAAGAAATGGATAAGAACGGAGAACTATTCGCAGAATTCTCGGCTTTCATAATTTGGTGATTGGATGGAGCGTTTACAAACACAAGGAAATACACAATACAAATTAGGTTTCCCCTGACGGACACACGACGAACCAGATAGATTTCATTTAAATCTCAAGGGAGTTGAGACGCAGCTAGTCTGATGGGAACAGAGTCGAGAAAGAGAGAAGATGTAGGCTCAGAGAATCATCTAGTTCAAATAACTTTCAAGATGAAGCTTAAATCCTTTGGCACAACTGGAAGCAGGCCGCGATTAAAGTATAATATTCGTAAACTTAAGGACAAAACCACAAGGGATGCTTTCAATACACAGCAGATCAGAGCAGACTCCGAGCCACTATGTGGTGTGATATCACTGAGAAAACCTATGTGGAAGAAAATTGGAACTCACTGAAGGTGATGTCCAAGGTAACGTGTACAACAGTTCTAGGAAGAAAGAAGAGACATAACAAAGAATGGCTCTCTGTGGATACCTGGAAGCTAATCAACGAGAAAAAGATGGTGAAAGAGAAGATGACTCAATGCAAAAATCCAGGAAAGAAGGAGAAGCTGAGAATAATGTTCACTGTGCTGAATAAAGAAGTGAAGAACAGTGCTAGAAAAGACAATTCTACAACATGGTGCCGACTGAGGCAGAACCGGCAGACCACAGGTAAAAGAGGGAAGGGATCAAGCCAGATGATGAAACCAATAAAATACACTCAAGAAAACCTGATTATCAAGGTGGAGAAGCTAATAAAACAATAGGCCAACCACTTTAAAAGACTCTTGAATCGACCATCACTTGCAACTCACTCAGAAAGAACGCTACCAACAGCACTCACAGAACTGCCTACCAATAGACACCACTCCCCAAGCGAAAGCAGAAATTCTGAATGCAATCAAGCTGCTGAAGTCCACCTGGGAAGGCAGCAGGATCAGAGCGGCTTCAGCAACTGCGGAGGATGTGCTCGCTTCAATATTGCGAAGTGTTTGGAAAGAAGGAAAGGCACCTACGGAATGGGAGAAAGCCTGGCTACCTCGTCACGCTGCCAAAAAACGGCGACCTAGGCCTGTGCAAGAACTAGCGTGGAATCACGCTCTTGTCCACGCCAAGTAAAATACCAGGTCGCATCATCCTGGAAAGCGTGATAATTGCACAAGATGGAGAAATTGCCCTCTCGGAAGATCCTGGATTCAGGAAAGGCCTATCATGCGCTGTTCAGATCCCAACTTCACGCATTACAGAACAAAAAGTAAAATGGCAGTCAAATATCATCCTTAACTTCAGTGACTTTCGGAAGGCTCTCGACACCGCTGACTACCAAGTGATTCAGAATCTACTACAATACTACGACCTGTGGTGCCCCGAATCTTTATCAACGTCATTCAACAGCTGGCCATATAACAATGCCACGTGTCGGGTGATCCACAACTCAAAGAGGCGTTTGAAGTGCATACAGGAATGGGACAGGGCTGCCTTTTGTACCCGATGACATTCCTAATTTTAGTGGACTGGGTTATGCGTCAAAATGTTTGCGGCGAGGAGTCAGGAATACGCTGTACCACCGATGAGAAGACTCTGGAAGACCTGCATTTCGCGCATGGATGATGTATGTCTAATGTCACAAGAACTCGAATACTCAACAAACTGAAAGAAGAGAAGCCAGGACTCCAAGTGAACAAGAGGAAAGATGGAGGTGTTGAAGATAGCCAAAGAAGAGCAACAACAACAACCAGCACCAATCACTATCAACCGGAGAGATTTAACAGAGGTTGCCTCCTTCACTTATTTCATCAGATAGCACCATTTCAACTACAGGTGGGACGGATGAGGATACCAGAGCGAGCTAAGATCGGAAAGGCGAGATTCCCCTTCATCAACCTGAAGCGAGTTTGTAAATCCTCTAGTGTCGCTTAACCAGCATAAGGAACAAGATTCGGATTTTCAGCACCAGCGTCAAGTCGGTCCTTCCATACGGGTCAGAAACTTGCATTGCGTATAACGAAAAGCATTTCAAACAGGTATCAGACATTTGTCAACAGCTGCCACCCTCTCAGGCTGGCTGGCTGGCTCCATGCTGAAGATCAAATGGCCAGAAACAATTCTTAGCAAGCAAATCTGGCAACAAACTAACCAAGAGCGACCACTCAGAAAATACTGGAGAAAATGGAGATGGATCAGTTATACATTGAGGAGTCCTTTGAATGACATCGCCCATAATGCAGACACGCGATCTCATTCGACGCGCGCGGGAGGCGATTAGTGGATAGTCGGCGCGAAGGTAACAGTGAGCAGTCTGCGAGTAGAGGGAATAACACATTGTTGTCAATTGTGGACCCAGTTGAAGAGGATGGCATAAAATGGAAGAGAGTGTAGATGTGTTGCTGAAGCCTTGCGTTCCACGTGGAACCCAAGGGGATAAAATAATACGCATTTGTGGCTAGATTACGTTAACTGAATGGTTTATTCATTGAAGATATTCTACTAAGAGACAATTTTACGACAAGTCTTTTAAACCAAGCAACGGATTTCAGTAACCTGTACGAAGGAAAGTAATTTCCAATATGTGCACAAAAATCGGAATATCGACTATCGGAAATCAGTTGAGCGGCTGATTTTGCTCCTGGGATACTCTAGCAGATAAGGAGATCGCTCTCGCTATTCAATCTCCAGTATTCTCTGTGTGATGAGAATTCAGGATCTCTTCAGTAATAAACCCGCTACATACTTGTATTGGAAGGTATACTCCATATTATACCTGCAGTGTTCTAATGTTAAATGATGGCCACAAATCTTCAGACCAGCAGGGGATATATGGCGAAAATACAATAAATTCACCTGGCGTGCGTTTTATAAGCCCGTTTGTGGGCTAACAATGCTGAGAGATTCAGCCAAAAAAGATAACAAATCACTTGCTGAAAGCAGAATCTAACACGACTAAAACAGTCAAGATGACTGGGGCGAAAAGTGACAATGAACTTTTTACACAGACAGCCGCAGCATAATGTAATTTTGTACGTTGAAAACCTAACACACGTGTGTACGGTAACCTCCCGTTAAACCTGAACGTGGTCACAGATATCAGGATAACATTTACATCTAACCCGTTGTGACCATACAAGTATGTGTGTAAAAGACTTAGTCGTCCTGTGGTAGATTGGCTACACACAAAGCATGTATCCGCCCGGACTCCAATAGTGTGAGTTACTGTATAGGAACCTAAAGTCAGATGACTGGAAAAGGCTGAAAGCATTAAAAGAATACCCATAAAAATGCAACCTATCTTCCTGAAATGATCTCAAACAGCTTAACTACTGTTAGGAAATTAGGATATAAACTATCCAGTTTATATTTAGTACAGCTAGGTGAATCCCAATTCAATCGTTGTAAACTATTTCGTGCAGATAGAAACCTGCAGCGGACGAGCTAGTCCTGAACTCCTGGAAAGTGACACTATTAAGTTCGAAATCACTAATGTATCGTCGCGTTTATTGTTTATTCCTTTTCGTCAGCTGGTTTACCGTTAAAATTAAACTGTTTCCTGACGTTTTGCATATTTTTATGTGTTTTAATCAATAACGAACAACTTTCTTTCATTGGAGAATGTGGATATATCACATCCATCAAAACAGCTATCACAGGTTCGTGAAAGTTACGAAGTGTTTTGTGCAGCTAAATATTGCTGCTTCATATTTTGTCGATACAATTTGGAGATGTGACTACCATTCTGAGCCGAATTCCATGATGATGCTTAGCCTTTAGATTAGGGATACATATTATGTG